TCTTTTTGTTTCTGCTCCTTCTTTCCTATCAATTTGCTTTGCCTACATCTTTATTTTATGAATGTTTCTCTCATGTTTCTCTCTTTTGTTCCTTTTATTTATTTGGTTATGATCGAATCCTATGGAGATTGCCTACGTATCATGACCCCGCATGAATCAGACCGAGCGTAGTTCTAGCAGATAAAAAGTGAAGAAACAATAAAACATTTTGGAATTTTCAATTTTTCATAATAAAACAAACTTTGGTTACAAAGACTCGAAAAACGGACAGATTAAAACAAGAAACTAACAGACTCCGATGAAAGACGAACTACAGACCCAAAGAAACTAACCCACATAAAAGACAATACATACTCCAAGACAAACTGACAGACTTTAATGAAAGGAAAATACAGTCTCAAGAAATCACGAATACATTAGGGCTTCAATTGCTCCTAGGACCGGCGAGGCATTGTTTGGCCTTGCTGCGGGTCGACTAGCTAAATCCCCCTGGAGATGATGGAGATCCTCCATTACGCGGCAGAAAAAAACCATCACGGTGGCGAAGAACATAGATCTAGGCATATCCTCCCAACTTCTACACTTCATTGCGATGTAATGGGTGATCCTTCTGATTCTATCTCTTATGACACCTTTCTCTTGCAATAACCGCCCAATCTGCTCTGTTCTGGCTCCCAAAGTTTGTTTGGTTACCTTATTCTACTCTTGAAGTTGTTGCAAATCCATTTCTAATAGCGCCAATGTTGTGTAACAATGTTCCCTTTCAACTTTGAACTCTTTTGCCTGTTTGATCATTTTGTTTTCTGCGATGATGACCCTTTTCTTTTATTCTGCAACCTCACCGTCGAACTCTTCTATTAATTGCTTAACCAGACGTGCTCGTTCTGCTGCATTTTCAGCCAATTGTTTTCGAGCCCTGGCTAGTTCCCTTTTCGCTTTGTTCAAATCAAAACTGTAGTCATTCACCTTCTGTCTCAAGTTATCCATAAGTTTTGCATCTTTGGCACTTCGGACGGGGTTTTCCACTGCTACTTTCATTTTTTGAATTTGGGCCTGAAGGGCCTCATTTTCTTTGGCCAATTTCTTCTTTTCGCCTTCACCTGCGGTGGCCTACAAATCGTTCTCAAATTGCAAATTCATGACCTACTTCTCCAGTTTGCCTATTGTAGCCCTGTACTCGCATTCTATAGCCAACCAATCACATTGCTCTTGCGATGCTTTGACGAATTCCTGGGGATAGGGCCTCTTGGCTAGCCTCTCAAACTCAATTTCTCTCCTGTACCAAGAAAGGAATCCTGGCGACACTTCGCCTCAGGACCGATCCCGTACGCAAGTGTTTGATGTTAGGTATTGGCATTCATTCCAAATTTTGCAGGCTGTTGCTTTGGGGAACTGATCATCAGGTCCAATCTCGACTACCCAGTTACTGACATCTTCGTCTTTTGGCACTATCTGGCACCTCCCGAGCTGTCTCAAGACCCGATGTGGGGCATATGGCTGGATGCTCCTAAGACCCATCAGAAGGAAGTGAGGCCCCGTTGCTGGCATGTATATGATCTCGTCCATAGACAACCATCCTAGCGTCCACTCTATTTAACTGGCAGTGAGGGACCGAAAGTAAGATATCCATCCTATTACTCCTTCAGGCAAGATGAGCCCTTCATTCCTTGTGTAAAATTGCTCTATACAAGTTTTCTCCGTTGACTCATAACTCATAAATTGGGGACAATGGCATATATGTTCGGTCATCCACATTTGCAACAATAGATTGCACCCCTCAAAGAAATCTTTCTCGGCCCTGCAAGTTGTGAGAGCACGAAAGATCTCAGCTACTATCATAGGCGCGAGTGTGCTCTTGGCTTGGGTGAGTAAAGTGCTGATAACCCCTGCTATTTTTACGTCGATGTTTCCGTCTTTCCTCGAAAACACCAAGAGCCCCAAGAAAGCCACCATAAAAGCGAAGCGTCTATGTTCTTCCCATTTAATGCGATTTCCTTTTGCTACAGATTTTGTTCTCTAGTTTGTTGAACCCTCCTAGATGACCATATCTTCTATATAGGAATGGAAAGGTACAAAAACCAGCTGCCAAGTCCGGGTTGTGTACCACTCTGCTTATTTTCAGGGAGTCTAAGAATATGTGCACAGCTACAGTTCTTGGGGAAACCAAATACTTGTGTCTCAAAGGAAGCTCATCATTCCCAATGTACCCGGCTATTTCTTCTAAGGTCGGGGTGAGTTCAAAGTCTGAAAAGTGAAACACATTATGCGCCGGGTCCCAGCATGTGACCAATGCCCTTATGATGTCTCCCCGGGGTATAATCTCCAACAGTCCGGGAAGGCCCCAAATATTTCTTGACCTTGTCTTGCCCTTCTCCACCTAATTCATTCCACCACAGCCGCAACTCCAAAGGGATTTTGCCTATGAATGAGAAAGGTTCGTTTTGGATTGTGCTCATCCTGCACATTTATTAAGGTGATTTAGTAACTTATGACTTTATTCTGTTTGACTCCAAAATCAAAATTGACCCCTTCTTTTTATATATTTTCTTTTAATTCTAAAACCAAAAACCCAGCTTTGCAGATACGGCCTTTCAGCACGTCCGGAGGAAGCTTTTAAGGTTGTGCCCGCTAGTTGGCTGAAAATAAAATAATAAAAAATAAAGGTGGCCGTTTGTGCAAAATTAACCTTCCGGCGTCCCTTTCGGGAATATTTGGCTATTCTTGACAACAACGGCATCACCTTACCTATTTACAATAAAAACAACTTTTTCATTTTTGGGCTATTTTTCTTTTTTTTTTTGCAAAAAGGAAAGTTGGACCTGAAGAGGGTTGCCTACGTATCTCACACCCTGTGAGAATCAAACTGGCATAGTTCGGGCAGATAAAGCAAAACCAAATATTTGGAAAATAGACTCTTTTTCTCTCCTTTTTCATAGGCAAATAAATAAATTATTATTGAAAACAAGACATTTTTTTCTTTTTTGTTTTTTTATTTGCAAATAAAACAAAACGTTTTTTTAAAACAAATTTCTTTCCCCTTTTCTTCTCTTTTTTTTTTGTTTTTATTTTCTCAAAAATTCGGCAGAGTTTCGACACTATTTGGACATTGGTTTTTCCAAGACAGGTGATTAACTCTCCTTACCCTTAAAAAGCCGGTCAATATGCAAATCCAAAATAAATAAATACACAAGTAGGATGCATTAGGATGGTCCACTATTTCGGGTACACCTGTCCTAGACGGACCCAACCCCTGTGTTGAGTCCTCTAAGTCAAATGCATGATGCAGATAAGCATTCTTACTAGGGATCCGGCATGAGGTTAAGTTGTTCTATGTTTAAAACCTGGGTATTTGTTCTAGACTATCACGCGGACAACCTGAGTCGAGGAGGGGGCTACATACCAGGGACCCGAAAGATCATCCGTCTTAGTAACTTGTCCGAGCCTCTTTCTTATTTCAAGGTATGACACTAATAGAATAGGGAGTCTTGACCAGCGATCACATCCCCCAAGATAAGAAGAGAAGGGTTTCGTCATAGTTTATATGTACAGTCCAAATAATATTAAAGCAGTAAAACAACTTTCAACACATTGGGTACAATTATGCAATAAAATCAGATAATAAATCGGCCAGATACAACAATTATTTAAAGCTCGAATTCTTGAACCCTGAACCAGAGATTCTGGTCGCCAAAGCTGTCACACCTCCCCTTTTAACAACTACACTCGGCGAAGTGCGCAGATAGGGAGTTTTTCCAATTTAAAAACAATCGAAATGGGATTTATTTATTCAAGAGATTTAGAGTTGCCACTTGGGAGATTTATGGTATCCCAAGTCACCGGCTTAGAATCCCGAATCGAGGAAAAGAATGGCTCTATCTAACAGTCCGCGAACTAGAAATCCGAGTAAGGAATTCTGTTAACCCGGGAGAAGATGTTAGGTATTCCCGGGTTCCGTGATTCTAGCACGGTCGCTCAACTATCATATTCAGCTTAAATTATCTGCTTTTAAACAATTATGAACCTATGTGCAAATTTTAACTTTTAGCCGCTTTAATTATTATTTTTAAAGATAATTGCAACGTTGTTAAAATACGCCTCGAACCACGTCACATAAATGCACCCGTAGTTTTTGACATATTTTAACATTGTTGAGATTTGAATTTGGGTCACATAAATGTGCACCCAAGTTTAGGAAAGTAAATTATTTAACTAGCGCACCTAAAGCAATTTCATATGTTTAAATGTGCGAGGGCAACGAAACCTTGCTAAGTGGTGCACCTCGGGTTCTAAGGATTCAAAATCAACTAAACAACGTCCATGCAATTATTCAAATTGATTTGGCATTGCCGCACCTTGATTATATTCGCAAAAAAATGGGATTGAGCTACAATTCTTAAGAGCGTGAGTATTTGGTACTATCTAACAAGGTTTCCTAACTAGTCAATGAGCTTAATTGGCTAAAACTGAATGAAATCACATTGCTGCTAATACCACTAGAGCTTACTTAAAGAAAGAAAGCAGAATTAATTAATCTACCCCATGGGACTTCAAACCAGCCCAAGTGGACCATTAGGCCCAAATGCCACTTCAGATCCCCACAGTGAAAATTTTGAATTTCAAGCCCAATAAATTCAGCATTGATTACGAATCTAATTACTATTTTAACGAACTTTCAACGTACCTTAACAGTGTCTTAATTAAAATTGAAAATATACTAGCAAGCTGACATATCATGATTGTCATTGAATTTTTAATTTAGCAAACAAATCATAAACTCATGAATCTACCAATGGTTTAAGTGAAGGAACGGATCACCTATAACATGTAATTCAAATGAGGCTACTAAATTCTTGAGCTTAAACGAGTTACAAACTCCCAATCCATTCCAATGACTTCAAACCTTCAAGCCATAGGTTAGACTATACCAGACTCCCAATTTCAAATTAATAACTAATCTTGAGTTTTTTTTAGAACTTCAAACTGTAACAGGAATGCCAGACTTAACAAAATTGGATCTAATACTACCGAATATCATATGATCATGAAAAGAAAACCAGTAGTCCAACAATCCTGTCACATTACACATATGAGAATACTCGGTAAGAGTCCTTTATACACATAATTGCAGAAAGGTGAAGCTTAATTATTATCATTACCTATGAATCTATAGCTAAGCATAAAGCACATAAGGACAGTAAAATAACAGGGAGGTCGGGCTCGAATGCATCCTTCAAATTACTTCAAATCTATTACATATTCAGCAGCTGATCCTCAGTTATGAGCCAAAGGAAATACCTAATACAGCAGATAAATAAAGAACTTATGAGCTTAAAAGAAACCCAACAGCAGAAGCCAACAACAACAATTTTAGCCATTAAGATCCAGGAGATCCACACAGAGATAACCAATGAAATAGTAGTTGACCATAAAATCTACTCAGATTTTCTACAGGAATCAAGTTCGAGTCATTTCAACCAACCATACACGACTAATTATCTTTCAAAGATGAGGAGCTCCAAAATTCAAAATAGAAATCTTGGTAGAACAGTATTTTGTAAGCTGTCTAAAAGTTTCAGAAAAAATTTTTAACCTTCAAAGTCTGCCTTCTAAGGCAAGAAAATGGTATTTTTATAGGCCAATAACTAGGGCTACACCTGCAGACTTTGTTTTGCCTTTTAGTCCCCTTTTTATTTCCAACCTTTAGCTAGATTGTCCCTAAGGTTGTGACTTGTTTCTCAAGTTTCAACACTAAAGTCCTAAAATTCTGATTGGAACCCCGTCTAGAATGTTCTAGGGGTTTTCAAATCAGATATATGCAAGATTCCCTAACTTAAAATACCTATATTACCCTTGAACTAGTCTGAAATCACCAAACCTATACTAGTTGACCCCAGCCCCTTAAGCTTGGTCAGATGACCATGGTTAATTACTCACAATCATGAATCCAAATCAAATACACAAAAGTATGAACCAAACGGAAGCACATTAAAGGATAATCAGAAAAAATCAAATTTTACTGAATTAATCAGTAAAAAAAGAGAAATACAGGCAAAAATAAACATAAGAAGAATCACCACACGCAAAAATATCAATAATCAGCAATAAAATAATACCAGGACAGAATCCGATTAAACCAAACTAAGTCAGAATTAGAAACAACTAAAACCTCAGATCTCTTTAGTTAATTTAATCATGAAGAGCATTTAATCAAGCTTTAAATAAAGGAAGTCAGTCAAACCCAGAAAACTATAAATGCAAATCAAAGGAAAGAAAACAAGCCAAGGCATCACTCGAACAATAAAAACTAAACCAATTCCCAAAATTGCTAATCATATGCATTTTTATACCCAAACTAACTTCTACATATTAGGCAGAATTATGAATGACCCTAATTAAAACGAACACAGAACTAACAAACACGTTTAAATTAAAGGCTTAAGTAATGAGATTAACTAAGGTGAGGACTTAGCTTAACCGGCCTGGGCTTCATCTTCAAAGGAGGCTTTCATGCAGACTCCAAAATCCTAGGTTTAGGGATTTTGAGCATTTACCAGGGCATTTGAACATGGATTCGAGGTGAGGTAGGTGAGGGGGCCGTTTGGTGTGAGTTTGAGGCCATTTGATGGGTTATGGCTTCAGGCCAAGGTTCCTATCCAAGATTCGAGGAGTCCGACGGGGATTCGAAGGAATCTAAACCCAAATCTAGAAAGGGAGGGGTGGAGAAGCCTCTATGATGTAAATTTGGAGGCGTTTTGCACCGGTACCGCCGTGGACGGCGGAGCAGCTGCCACTTCGAACAAATATTCGAGGGGATTGGTTGACATTTGAGGGATGCAAGTCATAAAAATGGGAAGAGGAGGTCGGGGAGGTGTAGTGGTGTAATTTTAAAGGCCATCGGAGACTTGCCACCACCGGCAGTGATTTTTGGTCATCGGCGGACGGCGGAGGGTGGTGGTGAGACGGGTCGTTACACCGGCTGCGAGGGGCTAGAGACAGGCTAGGTTTGGGGGGTGGGGTGGGTTTCGGACCATTATATATCACCAGGCGATCAGTTCCCGACTGTTTGATCTATTGAGATCAATGGTTCAGATCAAAAGTGCCTAAAACGATGTTGGTTGGGTTAGGCACGGGGTTGGACCGGGTTGGGAAAGGTTTGGGTCTGGATTGGGGAAGGTTTTGGGCCGGTTAATTTGCAAAAATGACCTAATTTCATTTCCTTTTCCTCTCTTTCCTTTTCAACCTCTTTTAATTCCCTTTCTTTTTGATTTAAAACTAAAATGCATCTAAATTAATTCCTAAAAATCCATTAACCCTAAGAAATTAATCAAACACATATTATAAAGCACAAAACTAATTTAAAAGAAACACTAATTCAAAATCAAATTCAAAAGTTAAAAATACAAACTAAACTATTTTTTTTATTTTTCTATTTTATAAAACGGACCAATTACTAATTAATTCTTAAAATGCAAGATTGAATCCTAAATGCACATGCCACATATTTTGTATTTTCCTTTAATTAAGATAAAATAAATATGCAGAAATAAATGCAAACAAACATATAATTATTCAATTAAATTCTAAAAATCTCATAAACAAATAAAAATCCTAATTTTACGAATTTATAGGAGTAATTTAAGCTAGGGAATAATCACGTGCTCACATAGATTCACATATAGAAAAGAGATTCTGAAACAAAAGGAACTTCACATCGAGCCAGGCATTCAAACGAATAGTTTCAAACCCAGAGGCATACGTTTCTTCAACAATAGCAAGCTCAACAGATGATAAACAAGTAAATCAACAAAACACTTAGCAGACATCTTCAGAAACTCGAATGAACCCAAAGAAATTAGGGTTTTCAACATCAATCGAGTTTTAAGATGATAAACAAATAAGTCAAACAAACACTTAGCAAACATCCTTAGAAACTCGAATGAACCCAAAGAAATTAAGGTTTTTAACATGCTAAACTTAAATAGGATAACGACATGAGCAAAACATAACAAAATCATAAATACATTAAGATCAGAGAAGAGGTTTAAAAAAAGAAAAACCCTAATCGAAAAAAGTTGAAGAGTTGCTTTGAAAGCAAAGTTAAAGAAACTTCGAGAAGATGCTTAAAAACTCATGGCCAGCATGGACCTAAAGTAGATTTGAAAGAAGTCGAAAAGGTCTTAGAGATTAGGGTTTCAGAAGAACCCAAAAGCAATGAGAAAGGCCTTGAAAGTTACCGATCTAAACAGGAGAGTCAAAGGTCTGACTCGAATGGCCATGGATGGCTGGAGAAAGGTCAGAGATGACCGGAAAAAGGTCATTGAGCAAAGACTGGACCAAGTCCCTTCAAAGTTTGGTCATGAGATAATAGAACCAAACACGTAGAAGCCATGGAAGACTGATACAAGTCTTCAAACACCCTGGAAAGCCATGGATTATGGTAGAGTAAGGTGGCGGTGGCTAGGGTTTGGGGGTGTTACAGAGAGTGTTTGAGAGAGGAGGGATTTTGAGGCGCGTATGGTGAAAAATGATAGGGTTTAGGGGGTCGTTTAGGATTAATTAAGGTAAGGATGATTTTCTGGCATTGATTTGAGTGATCAACGGCCTAGATTTAAACAGGTAAGTAGGGATGTGGGCATGGATCGCTTTGATTGCAGTTGGGTCGGGGTTTAATAGAAATTGGGCCGGGGTAATTGGGGTTCAAAATGGGGTCGAATTTAGGCTACAATTGAAATGTAATTGGGTTATTATTTAAATAGCCAATTTTTCCGATTTGATTTATAAAAAATAATAAATTAATTTCTAGAAATTTTAATAGCACATAATTAGCTATTTAAAATACCAGACCAATTTTTTTATGAATATAAACATAATTAATCATAAAAGAGGCTAATATTGCAATTAAACAATTTTCGCCTTAAAAATACTAAATAATTTTGTAAGAATATATAAAAAATCCCTTAGCTATATTTTGGCATAAACATAAAAGTTCAACAAATGAATCACCAAAAATAATAATTTTAGAAATAATTATTGGATTTTTAAGGATAAAATAGGGAAATAAATTGATTTAAAAAATCTTTAAAATTAAGAAAAAATAAGAAAATACTTGGATATACTTATATATGGATGCATATTCTATTTTGAAGGCACTCTTCATATAAAATATATATATGGGAAAAAATTGGGTATGAACAACGCTCAGACTGTCTATCACGACCCATTTCCATAATAGGTCATGATGGCGCCCAAAACCATTGCCACGCAAGCCAACGCGGAAAAATACTAAATAAGCTCTCATTTACTTCTACCCAAATATAGTTTTGATGATTCCTTGAGTGGAAATAAAATCAGAAATGAATAATAAAGCAAAAAAAACATACAATCCCAAAAATAATACAGTCTACTAATGTGTGTGCCAAGACCTGATATCACAAGTTGTGGGCAACGAGTAGAAAATACAAAACAATCACACTATCCTACTATCCGAAATAGAATAGACAGCAAAATACATAAAAAAGACTCCTTCAGGCTACTGAACGGCATGGGAAGGGAAGCAACTCATCATAGAAATCTAGAAATTCGCTCAGGGATGTGCACCAGACTGATAGCCAGACACCCCTACCTCAGATCCTAAACAATTAAGTACAAAAGTATAATATGAGTACATAAATAATATGTACCCAGTAAGTATCCCGTCTAATCTCGAAGAAGTAGAGACGAGAGGTCGACTTGATACTTACTAGGGTCAAATAATATGAGAAAGAATTTATAATAAGCATGGATAGCACAATTCATTAACATTGTATGGCCGGGAATAACAGTTCTTTTTTTCCAATTAATATCACGGGTATCCACTTACGTTTCAAGACATATATGAAGTTTAGTCCATAGAGAAATACTAAGTAAAGCATGCGCAAGTAATAACGAGGGACAAACGGCCCGATCCAACATAAAAATAAATTTTACATTGCCGAGGGTCAAACAGCTCGAACCATAGATGCATCTATTACCCCGCTCGCAGATCACCCGTACGACGCAGTCAAATATAAATAAACTTATAAACAACAGACAATAATATGTATCCGAGGAGTAGTTATTCATATGAATATTCAAATCATCTTTTAAAAGACCAAGCAAGCTAAGGTTCCTCTACTAGTCTCATTTATCTTAACCAACACAATTTATACGAATCCGAATCCATCATCAAGTTACAAGAATATCACGTATAGCATGCTTTTGGGTCCTAGACTACCCGAACTTAACATAATAGTAGCTACGCACGGACTCTCATCACCTAGTGCGTATATAGCCCCCGCATATAATAGCAATTAATTTAATTATTACACCTATGGGGACAATTCCCTCTAACAAGGTTAGAACGGAGACTCACCTCGCTCTAAAGTGCACTCTCAATACCAAGAATGAGCATGAACCCTCAATTTGGAGCCGAACGATTTGAAACTAGATAAACGAGGTAGGGACTAGTCAATACAAGCTTACAAGATCATGTTATAACTATTTAAGTAATTTCCCACCCTTAAACACCAATTTCCTAAAATCCAACCCTGGACCCACGTGCTCAGTTTTCGAGATTTTTCAAGGGAAGTTGTTCTTCGTAACCCAAGGATCAATAATATATGATTTCTAATTCATTCTGTAGCAAATTTCATGGTAGAATCTAAGTTGTATTAAAACCCAAGGTCTAGCTCTAACTCCATGATTTTACCTTAATCCAAGGGTTTAATCTACCTAAAACACCATTATTAAACTAAGAATAAGTGGGATAAGCTTACCTCAAGATGCCAAGTAGAAGTCCTCTCTCAAAAGCTCCCAAAATCTCCAATGGAGGCGTGAAATATGGAAAAATGAAATTAGAACCCGTAATAAATGAACTCACTGCTTCAGCGATTTTCGCATCTCCGGTCAGGGGACCGCATCTGTGAGCAAGTGGCAGCATCTGCGGACGTTGGCCAAAAAGGCTGGGGCCGTTTCTGTGTAGTAGCTTCTGTGGTTTGTCCTGGCCTTCCCTAGGCTACATCTGCGATCTTGCACCTGCAGTCCACCAACCGCAAGTGCGGTTATGACAGAAGCAGCAACTTCAACACTTTCTCCAAAATTTCAACTTCACTCGAGCCTCGTCCGATAGATGCTCTGGGCTCCCGGGCCCTGCCCGAACATATCAACAAGTCTGAAATCACGAAGTGGACCTACTCGAACCTTCGAAACGCCCAAAACAACGCTAAATCTAGGAATCACCCCCTAAAACCAATTGAATTAAACTTATGAACTTCAAGTTCTTAATTTTCCTTCAAGGGACCAAAACGCCCCTAAACTACTCGGATTGACACCAAATTTTGTAGGCAAGTCTTAAATGTTATTTCGAACCTGTACCGGGCTTCGGAACCAACATACGAGCTCGATACCCATGTGACCAATCATTAATTAGTTTCTTTAAATCCTTAAAACTTCAAATTAACAATTTCTAATCAAAATTCATTACTTGGGCTTGGGACCTCAAAATTCGATTCGGGGCTTACGCCCAGGTCCCATTTTTTCTTACGGACCCTTCGGGACCTCCAAATTAGGACACCGGGTCCATCTACTGAAAATATTAACCAAAGTCAACTTAGTCTTTTTAAGAAGATTCTAATGAATCAAATGGGCATATTTCACTTCAAACTCTTCTCAACCTCGAACCAACCGTCCCCGCAAGTCGTAAATTAGCTAAAGCAAGCATGGGAAGTTTTATTCAAGGGAACGGAGTTCTAAAAGGAAAAATGACCAGTTGGGTCATTACATTCATCACCTCTTAAACAAACGTTCATCCTCGAACGGACATAGATCAGTACCTGAGCTGGCGAATAAGTGTGGATATATGCTCCGCATGTCCTCCTCGGACTCCCAAGTCGCCTCCTCGGCTGGTTGGCCCCTCCACCAGACCCTTACCGCAGAAATCCTCTTGGACCTCAACAGGCGATCATGTCTATCAATAATGGCAACTG